GGGTGTGTGGATAGCACATCCGAATTGAAATTGTTATAAAATGTCCTTTAAATGTTTCTAAACAATATTTTTTCTATCAAACGATATTATCTACATAGGAGAGTGTGGTGGACTTAACCTCATAATAGACTAGCAATAATGTAGTTTAAATTCACTTTTATAGATAATCGAATCGAAGACCTCTCACTTATAAGTAAAGAGGAATACCAACCGTAGTACTAACTTACGTTGCTAAGCAGTGTTAGAATTGCAAAGATGTCCCACTTATTTTTCTCATAATTTCGAATCATTCATCTATAAAACTTTTTTTTATTTTTCAAAATAAAACTGTATAGTTGGGTTATGATTATATTGAATGTTCAAAACAGAAATTACTATACAAGTCAGCCACAAAATATTAAAGGAACACAAATTATAACTGAAACATGTTATTCCCACAGCCACATGCATGCTATTTTTATCTGAATTTATTTTGATTAACATCAGGGTTGTCTCATAGTTGTCATACAAAACCAAAACGAGTCACGGAACATACTGTGTATATAGACTGTCATAAATATTAACACAAGTACACAACTAATAGTTCTATACATGTCGATATTTTTCGTTCGTGATCTCGTTGATAAGGATGTATCATGTGAGACAGAAAAAATATGCATGTAGAGATAAATTCTAGGGTTTAATATAAGGTCGTTATACATAATTTGTAGTACGAGAGACAATTAAGAAATCCTTAAATTAAAGTATAGGTCCCTTGGCTTGAAACCTATCTTTGTGAGTAAAATTAAAAGCCACAAGAGTTCACAGATGCCATGCATCATCCTTTATACTCAATTTTTACAAAAGACCGTGCCACTACATTTTACTTTTTATTTCGCAGGTCACAAGATTTCCTACTATTGACGTAAAGTAACATGACGTAGACTGTCGATCAGTGATATTACAACCCAATCTACATCAATACACCTCTATACCTCCATATGCCCATATTTTTAAAAACTTAAGCATTTATTTGGAGCTGCTTTTAGGTAACTCAAAATACACATCACTGTCTCTATGTAGGTCGCTATTTAGAGCATAAATAAACTGACTCACCACACTTATAATATAAGCAATATTTGGTCTCGTAAGTGATTGGGAAATCAATCTTCCCACTAACATCTGATTATATTCTTCTATTAGTTGGGACTTGATCTTAAATTGCAACATGATGATTTTGTAATTTCAATGGGGTTTATCCCTCAAAGCAATCTTTGGATTTCAAGGGCTCTTAATCCCACAAACATCAAATATAAATATGAAAAAAATTGGATACATCTCTTCTACTGGCTTTTCCAAAAGGAAAATTGGGCACAAGTACATCACTCACTATTTTACTTTCGTTCGTCTCGGATTGGTTGCAATAATGACAAGCTCTTTTCTAATTTTCCTTTATTTTGATTTGCAACTGCAGAATCTGTTTTGAAAGTCCCGTTGTATATTTTGATCTCCCAAAGCAGATCAGGTGGAGGGATGGGAGCCAGAGAACGGGGAAGGCGAAAGGAGTAATATTGTTACGTTTAAGCAGTAAATGTAAAAAATTAAAAATTAAAAAAAATTAAAAACCTGAAATTACACCTAGATCTTATAACTAGGCTGCCACATAGGATAGTATACAAAATACGGTGGTATTATTTAAAGGGTGATGCTAGAGATACCAAAATTTTATATAAAATTTGGAAACCCAATAATGTGTCACATTATTAACGCTTAAGTAATAATTCAATCATTAACAACCACATCATTTGCTTTGCAAATTTAAATTAAAAAGTTTGGTCTCCCGAAAATTGTCCATATTTGAATGGTAACTGTAACTTTACCTATATTTAATTACATGTTTCGATTCGAGCATACTATACATAAGTAACTTGCCATTAACGGCAAATAAAAATAAATAAAAAGAAAAATTAAAGCCATTCCATTTTCATTTTTTTTTAATATGAATGACAAATCATTAATATAAAAAATGTGGAAAAACATGACAATTGAGTGCATAATAATTGGTTATATGTCAAAATATCCCCTGAAATTAGGAGTGCAATTCGGGCAGGTTGAAAGGTCAATCAAATCTTAACCCAACTTTTACAATTTGGGATCGGATTCTGGTTGGGTTTTAATCAGGTTCATTTGAGTTCGGGTTTAATCGGGTTAGGTTTACTTAGGTTAGGTTCGGATTGCCTAACTTTTGTAAGTTTTAATTGGGCGTTAGCATCAAATTTTAAATCATATGTTTCTGAAAGCACCTGCACAGTCATGCATACATCCACAAAGACATCAACCTATTTGTATTAGCAAACAACTGACCTTAAAATCATTTTCCCTTAACTTGCTCAATAGCCTGCTTCGTCTGAATCGGCACAAGAAAGAAGCATAAGAAGCAATCACAACTCAAATTGTGAAGCAGATCCCAAAGAGGAAGTGGATTGTCTGCCTTTCATTTTCATACTTTTTTCATGCCCTTTTGATTGTGTGATCACGGTTAATTCACGTCAACATTTTATATTTCTATTACTTTTTGTTTTATTATTTTTATAAAAATTAATATAAAATATTGATGTGGTTTAATCGTAATCACACATCACAGGAAGACTTGAAAAAAATATAAAAATTGGAGGCAGACAATCCACCTCCCTCAAAAAGAGGTCGAATAGTTGCAATATTAATTTAATAAAGGAAGTTGTTCTACATGATGTGATGTGAAAAGCAGAATAAACTTAATATGATTCCTTTCAAGTCAAATTGTATATCATATCAGTAGGTTCTCATGAAGGTGCGAGGGTCACTGAGAAACATGTTGCACAGCTCAACCCAATCGGGTTGGGTTAGGCAAATAATAAATCCAACCCAACCTAATTAATTAATGGATTGAAATTAAGTTGAATTTGGACGTGTTATAACTGAAAAAAAAATTTGCTTATTCGGGTTGAAGTCGAATTAGTCCAACTCAAGTTGCATCCCTATCTAAATTAAGTTGAATAGTAAAAAAAAGCAAAAAGAATCATCTTCTCTCTTTACCAGCCACTTCCATTAAGAACATAAGAACACAAGAAATAACGAATCAATGAACTAATGATAAAGTCGCTCGATCTGCAGTGGGAAGGGATGAATGTTACAATGTTATAATGTCTGTTAATTAAATTCTTCTATTTTTGTTGTTGTTTCAATCTATGTGGCACTATTTATTAATTGGATGCGTGAGCCTTATATTTTTGTCACGTCAACTATAGTAGACCATAATTATAACACATAAGTAAATTTAATGGTTTTTCAAAGCAATACATAGAAACAAGCTAAAATATAAAATAGAGTAAATATTGAGTTTCAGGGGTCAAAGTGTGATAAAAATCGCATTTTAGAGAGCGAAGTGGCTACTTTGGAGTTTCAGAAGACAAAATAAGATTACAATTAAGTTCTGAAGAGTAAAATGACGAATTTTGAGTTTCATAAAGGACAATGAGTTCTCAAAATGTAGCTAAAAGGCCTAAAAGAAATATGGAATGATAGTTATGTAAATAAATTCAAAACAATTTGAATCACCTTTTTCAAATTGGGATGGCCGACTTTGACCACCTTGAAAATACGCGTGGTTACTTAACTTTAAGATAAGTTGGGAAATTAAGTATAAGTAGCACGCAGGACACCGATTGTAAACGGTGTTTTTTTTGTCCATACCCTTAAAGTGATACTGTGATATAGTAATGTTCAACACATACTTAGATAATTTTAAAATTTAAATTTATCAAATCATAATAAATAAGGTGATAAGCATCACCATTCAGAGTGATGAAAATATTCCAGATTACAACATAAGGAAGTAGAGCAGCGCAAATTATTGTCTCTAGGTCAGACACAAACTGATTAACAATAGCAAAGAAATCACTTAGTATTACAGTCTAGTAGTATTCCTCTTCACTTGTAGGTGAGAGGTTTTAGTTCGATTCTTGCCAAGGCGAGTTTCAACCACAGTATTGCTAGCTCATTGTGAGCCTAAGTCCACCCCCTCCTCTTTAGTGAAGATAATATCGTTTGTTCAAAAAAAAAAATAGCAAAGAAAGAAGAGTAATTCTAGCCCATTGTGAGTGAGAGGTCTTAAGTTCAATTATTGCCAAAGTGAAATTGAATCACATTGTTGTTAGCCAATTGTGAGCTTAGCTCACTTCGGACACCCTTAGTGTAGATAATATCGTTTGTTAAAAAAAAAACAAACAAAAAACAAAAAAGGATAATGCTAGGCAGTTCAAAATTTTAGACTATATTGTAAATCAACACATAAGTAATAATCCATTAATCAACAACCACGTCATATAATTTAAATAAATAATCTCTTTAACATTACCTAAGAAAGAAACAGTAATTACTAAAAATATGACTTTAGTTCTTAAAACACACTTTTCTTTGCTTAAACCCAACATGATTTTTTTACCCGAATGAAACCAAGTGAAGTGACTATGCTCCGCACAAACAAACTGATCATTAATAAGTTTGACTTTTAAATATTTTGTAATTTTTAGATGTCGAAAATAACCTAATTATATTTTTGACTAATAATTTGAGCTTAAGTATATTACGTTTGTGATATCTACACTTAATTGTAAGACTTGCAGAATACTACATCAGTCACGAAGACTTTATTCAGAAAAGGAAAGCAAAAACATTCAAAACCAAGGTATATGAACATGATGAAATGATAAATATCATGTACCATTCTATTAAGGTTGTAAGTAATGCAATTGTTGATTGATTGCAAATTCCAAAACCAATGTGCGCACTGCGCCTGGTCTGTTTCTTCACTGCCCAGCAATCACTCTCTCTCTCTCTCTCTCTCTTCCTCGATGTAAAAAAAACAGAAAAGTAAAACCCTAAAATATAAATACAGTGAGAGACCACCGCCCTAGTCCACCATTAACTAAAAATGGCATTGAATAATCAGACCCAACATCAGAGAAACCTCTCTTCTTTCGACTAAATCGAGAACACTGAATCAGGTGGTGTGTAGTGCTCTAGCCATCCACCCCCCACCCCCCTACACACACAGAGTTTTCCACCTTTAAATTAAGCTCGCCGCCACCTCACCCTATGGAAGAAGACCAAGACCGCGATTCGGCAGCTGAAGCAGCACCAGCTCATCACCTTCCCCAAGAAAACAGCAACAAAACCACCAAGGACAACTCGACCACCGCATCCACCGCCACAACAGAAACAACGGACAGCAGCAACAGAAAGTGCAAGGGCAAAGGAGGCCCCGACAACAAGAAGTTCAGGTACCGCGGCGTGCGTCAGCGGAGCTGGGGCAAATGGGTAGCTGAGATCCGCGAGCCGCGTAAGCGCACTCGCAAGTGGCTGGGGACCTTCGCCACTGCCGAGGATGCTGCCGGCGCCTACGACCGGGCCGCCATCATCCTCTACGGTTCCAGGGCACAGCTCAACCTCCAGCCCTCCGGTTCCTCGTCCCAGAACTCCATGGGCGGCTTCTCTTCTTCCTCCTCATCGTCCAGCTCCTCCACCCAAACCCTAAGACCCCTTCTCCCTCGCCCCTCCGGCTTCGGCCTTACTCTGCCCTACCCCTCCTCCTCTCACCCGGTCCCACTCATGGCTTCGGGGTTCGTTCCTTACGGTGTTGGCGTAGGGTTAGGAGTCTATCCTAACGTTGCTGCTGCTGCCGCCGTCGCCGGTGGTGGTGCAACTTCGTCCGTGCGTTTGAATCAGCATCCTCATCATAATAATATGTTAGATCAAGATCATCATTCTCAAAACAACATTAATCCATTGCACCAACAGCTACAGCAACAGCAGCAGGTTGTGGTGCAACAATTTCATCATCAGTACCCCATCTCGTTATCTGACGGCAGCGGTTGTGACACATCAACCTCGAATCAATATCCAAACCCTAGTCACGATCAATACCAACTACAACTACACCATCAGAATAACAATAATCTGGAGTGTTGTTCGTACGACGATGTCATGAATTCGCTTGTGGGATCAGGGTTGTCTACGGAGCCTATGGCGGTTGCACCGGGGTGTTCTGACATTCCGATGGGGGGAGTGGGGCCCATTTCGCCGTCGATGTGGCCACTGACAAGCGAGGAAGAGTGCGTTCCGAGTCTTTGGGACCACGGCGATCCTTTCTTCTTGGATTTGAAGGGATTGGATTCGTGAGGATCAAGAATTCGAGGTATTGATCAAGCATAATCTATATTCGAGTCACTCTCTTTCGAATAACGGGACAGAGAGATATATATATATATAGATATATTCAATTCCTTGTAAAATTCAAGCTTTGTCTATATACTAGGCTTGCATGCAAGAATTCACAGTAATTTTGGTCTCCATGGAGAATATATTTTGGTTTACAAGATCCAACTCTGGAAACCAAAAATACCCGAAGATTGATTACGAGGAAAGAGTGCATTTTAGTGTTGGATTGAAGCATACCACATTAGTGTATGATCAGTCGATAGAAGCTCTTGATGAACACAAGGGGTTGTCAATTTGATTAATGATGGTGGTCTTACAATATGTTGCAGAAAGATCCATCTGAGGTAAGGTTCCTTATTCATCATCAGTTTATCATAAAGATCTTAAAGCGTTGTGGAGTTTTGGGATGGGACGTTTCCACAAATATTAGGACTTCATTTTTTATTTTTATAACTCATTATAGTATTGGGAATTTTATTCATTAGGATGTAGTTTTGGGATAAAAGAAGAAATTTGATTGATCTCTCTTCGTGTTTCTTTCTTCCTGAACTGAGAAATACAAGGATACAATTAGTTAGAATTTTCTTCCTATACACTTACGAATAAATATATAATTAGTTAGAATATTTCTTGATCTGAACAGAAAGTTTGGTCCATTGTGTAATTTATTATATGTGGAAATGCATTACCGAAAGTTGAAATTTTCCTACTGCTCAACATGTTGGAGCAAGGGGAGCAGCGAGGAATTAATATTATTGTCCTTGGTAAGGTCTTCTGTAGTAATTATCTTCTGTCTGTAATCACCTCTCTTGTGTCTGGTCTCTGTGGTCTCTATGGTAGGAGAAGGTTCACCGTTATTGTGGCGTCCAGTTCTAAAAACACAAGGATATGTGAAAAATTGTTAACATATGTCCTTATATAATTGGTATGAAACACCACGTGACAGTAAATTCATGTCATGAAAATCCTTCTCCTCTAATAGGGCTTTTGGCTGGTGATCCCCTAAATAAATCTGGGCTATCCAACTGTAATCTTCCTCCTTTGGGGCAATACCAAAAGGAGAATTAGTAGCTCTGTTTCATAATTGATAAATACTCAAGACACATCACATACAATCGATATGCAGGTTTTGCGTACTATTCTATACTCTAATTAATTTATATGCATGGTATATATGACATGTAAATATTAAGAACTTGTGTGTAAGATTTTATGTTGGAACTTATTTGTTGGACATCTGGTAAACTTAAGCTCATTCATAATCGATGGCAGCTCCAGAAGATAAGAGATATATAGGTTTAATGAAGGAAAGTTTGAGAACTGTGACAGTCGATCATCTCAAAAACACAAGTATTAAGCTGGCCTTCGTTATCTGGATGGCTAAATTAATCGGTTCTACCTTCAATAGATCCCAGCCACTAACTTTAAATCTGTATATCTTTTTAACAAGGCTCCTACGGATTTGCTGTTCGAAAAGTACATTTATCTCTGAAAAAACTTGAATACAATTTTAAATAGTCCTTAATCGATATGTATTACTTTGATCTTGTAGCTATAATTATATAGTATGAAAACATAATTAATACTACAAATTTGCGAGTTTTGATTTACAAAATCTAAAAGGGTCCAATGCAAATATGCTTTCAGGTAACACATTTTTTTTCCATGCATTATCCCCTCATCATCATATTGCTCGTCTAACAATTAATTATATTGTTTACTTTCTATCATGATCACCAAAGTGAAGTGCTGATGATTTACTTTATAATGATATTTCGAGACACTACTACAAGAAATCAGGTTTGTCGTGCCAAATATGATTTTGTCAAAGTTTTTTATTTTTTAATTTAATTTAATTTCTTTATTTTTGCACGATGAAATAAATCGTCAAGCAAGGTTTTTCGATTTTTTTTTATTTTAAATATTTTTTATTTTAATTTAGTTATATTAATTGTTTGCGCAAGGTTTTCTAATTTTTTGGGTTTTTATATTTCTTAATTTAATATAATTGTTTGTGTAATGAGCAAGATTTTTTTTTTATTAATTAAATTATATGGATTTAGTTTTTTTCTTTTAATTGATTTAATACTACATATTATAATAATGACCAGATTACTCTATATATATATATTATTAAAAGTGTACATTGAAGCAAAGTACAATAATAGAATCTAATACAAGTCTATTCTGGTGGTTGTGGCATGGGATATAATGTAATGGCGTCCAAATCTGCCAGCCGCCTCCTCAACTCCTCAATTTTTTCCGTCAAAGTTGTGACGATTGAGTGCAAAAAAACAAACATAGTCAAATAGCCAAAAACCATGTGAACAACACTAATTAAGTGACGTGAGCACGTGTAGCCTTTGAGCTTAACATGTGGGCTAGTTTGTTTTGATAACATAAAGAAAGTTGAAATTTTACCATAAACTAAGTAGCAATGTAGAGGTAGTTCAACCTCTTATAAACCTTAATAAGGTTTCTATTTTCATGGACATGACACTATTTTACCTTCAGATTCTCACATAATCGTGGAGGTCAAAGACACGAGGGAGAAGGGAGAGAGAGACAACAATGAGTTAAAGTTTGGAGCCCCTCCCAAATCTGATACCTCATTCCATATTCCTTCTGTGAGCCCAACTAATCTTGCTCATTCCCCCAAATATACATAATGGGCCTCTTGATTTTTAAAATATTTTGCACCAATCGGCCCAAGCCGAATATGAAAGCCGACAACACACTAGGGTTTTCTCCGTCCACTATAAATGCTCGCAAAGCTCTAAACTCCAAACCTTCTCACGCCACTGTGTCCCCTTCCGTCCTCCGCAGCTTTCAAGACTAGGGTTTGGGAGCGAACGTCGTTTTACCGCCACCATGAGGGCCAAGGTAATTTCTCAATCTCTCCCGATCACCTACGCTTTCTGTTCGTCCTCGCTTTGTGTCCGTTGATTGATTCGTTTTCTGTTTTTTTTTTACGGCGGTGATTGCAGTGGAAGAAGAAGCGCATGAGGAGGTTGAAGAGGAAGCGCCGGAAGATGAGACAGAGATCCAAGTAGTTTGCTCGTTCGCTGTCACCGATCATCAATCGACGTCGATTCGCCTCCGTCTCCATGTTTTGTTTTCTAATCAAGTAATCAGTACCCATTAGTCAGCTTGTAATTGTTTTGTACTCTTTGTGCTATCGTTTGGAACAAGTTTTGCTTTAATCAATTCAGTCAGATCATTTACCTTATTACGAATCTTTTAATATCCTATAGTATCGTTGGCGATTTTGAATATTGTGAGGTTAATCTGTTTATCTTTCGCTATGCAATGTGTCATTTGTGTTTTATGAGTTTGACATAGGATTCGTTTGGATGTGTTTTTAAAATGTCTGAAAGCGCTTTTATTTAAATTGATTTTGAGTTCCAAAAGCAGTGTAAGTGCTTTTTTGAAGAAGCACCAGATATGTGTTCTTGAAGGAAGCACTTAAATGCTATTTCAGGATCCACTTAGATTTTTACTAAGGATTGGTATCAAAAACATTTTCACTAAAAAGCGTTTTCAGTCATTTTAAAAGCATATCCATAAGCAGTATGTTACGGGAAATTATCTGTTTAGGGTTCAGTGTCGGGTTTAGGAGCCGAGAGCCTTTTGATTGACTGGTTGGCACACCATTGTTCGGGTTAATGCTCTATCTTAATTTGGTCAGTATTGTGGTTTAGGCACGCCTGATGGCGAAAATTTGGAATCCCCATTGTCGATGAACATGTGTGCTTCGCATTGGATGTTCATTTTGTGTAGGGTTTTAAATTTTGGATAGGTTGATTGATTTCAATGTTGCTGTTAAGTTGGAATCTTTGCAACCAGGTGTAGTTTTGTGCAGGAAATGTGGTTAACTAAACGTAGGTTTGGAACGTTCTTGTTTTAGCGTTTCTGATGGGTTGATTGTTCTCGACAGAAGTCTCCTATATGTATATCAAAACATTTTGGAACCGATGTATACTGCATTTAGTCTGTTCTGTTTCTATGCATCGATGCAGATGCTTGTTCTCGTAAGTTTTGGTTTATGTCCCATCTAAATCCACATTTCTCAGATGTGGGTTGGTACTCGGGAAAGGGAGTACACTGCACTAGCTAAATAGAGGGATTATTAGGCCTTCTCCGACCGAAGGAGGGTCATAGGGTTTTTTACCATCTTCAACTCAGAGACCAGAGGATCATAGATCAAACATAGTCCTGTGATAAAAAACCACCATCTCCAACCAATAGGGTCAAAGGATTATAGGCCAAACATAATTTATTATTTATTATGTTAATTTACAAACTACAATAATTTAAATTTAAAAATTACGATTTAAATCTATCCCAAAGCCAACCATGCACGTGAGTTTTTGCAACTCTTTCAAATGATAGGATAATCTATACTAAACCACAAAGAGGAGGGGAATTGCACACAAGACCACGAGGGCATGTGCACATGTGAATGCATTTGGAAATAAGAAAGTATAGCTCGTGTCAAAGGAAATGACAAAAACAAAATAAATTGCCATTAATTTATTAATCACTCGTGAAAAGAACGGACTTGACTTCTCTCTCCTTCCATTTTCCATACAATCTCATTCCCTCCTATTTATAGTCACTTTTATTTATGCGGTTACGATTAAGTTACATCAATATTTTATATTACTATTACTTTTTATCTTATTATCTTTATAAAAAATTAATATAAAATATAAACGTAGCTTAACCGTAGAAAATATGAGAGAATAGAAGTGTATGGAAAATGGAATGGCAGAGAAACCGGGTCCAAAAAGAACAGATACTCACAAAAATCTCAATTCTCCAACGAGTAAATAAAAGCAGGAGCAGCTTTGAACTGAATTCGTACCATCGTAGCTGCTGGAATCGAAGGACTGCTGGAGGTGGCGGCGCATGTCGTAAGCATGAGACGAAACGCGTTTCACGAACTAGTCGGAGGAGGAGGGGATATTACCATCGAGGTGAAGCGCTTTCTCCACCTGCTCACTTCCGTCGTCATCGCCGTCGTCGTCCTTCTCCTGCGCAGCTCCACCGCCACCGCGGGCCGGCACACTAGCCTCCTTCTAGAATAGGGGGAGCACGGTACACCGAATACAGAGGAGGAGGAGGAGAACAATCGGCAGAGACTTCGATTGTGTAAGCTGCCGAGCGAAGAAGAAGAGAGAGGCATCCGGCGGCGCCGTGGAGAGAGAGGGTTGGTGACTACGGAGGGCGACACTTTTACCGATGAGAGGGAATCCATGGATGCTTGTGTTAAGCTGTGAATTAATTGAAATTAAAAATGGGTGCAAAATTGCAATTACGTTTGGGTCTCTCTCTGGGTTGGTCCGGTTCGGTGGGTGGTAGGCTGAGAGAACCCGAAGAGGTTCCGGCCTTCGCCTTCCGCTTGCAAACCATTCTGCGTATGGTCCTTTGGGCCAGCCGGCTGGCGTGATTCTTCTTTTTTGATCTGGTGGGGTCTACAAGTTTTTTGGCCTGATTCACAGTTGAAGATGATTTTCGTGTTATTTGGAATTATTTTCAACCTTCTCACTCTCGAGTCGGATTGGTCGGAGATGGCCTAGGTTTCCTCTGTGGGATTAGAGCTTGGTGCATCACATGCGTTCTATTCAATGTGGTTACGCCTCAATCGCGTATTAATCTCTTGTATTTCTAGTGCCCGCAAGTAAAAGCATTACATTTAAAACTAAAGTTGAAGCGTGAACTCATGATCAACGTCTGCTGCATACGAGAGGTTTCCAGGTTCACCAAGCTTTTGAAACTGAAATTTCACAACCCAACCGAAGAAACCAAAAGGAAAAACGTTGAAAAATGAAAGAAGCTTCACGTAATCGACGTTACGCATCGTTTTGATGTGCTTCAGACTGCGGTCCAAATGTAGGCCCACCATCGCCCCGTAAGCTGTCGATGTAATTCCTGACTTCCTGCGCTATGATCCGCTGCATGATCGTCAGCAAACACGTCTCCTCCATCTCCACCGCACATTTCTCCACATCATCGTCATTGTCCACCGCTTCGTGATCGTGTTCTTCCTCCTCACTTTTCACAGCGACATCTTTCTCCGCCTTCTCACCAGGCGGCGACAGCGTCAGCGACGTCTCGACTATCACTCCCTCCCCTCCTGCGCCCGCTTTCAAACTCTCATGCTCAGGCGACGCGCGCAGGCACTGTCTCTTCAAGTCCGGCTCTTCCCCGAGCGCGGCGGCCGCGTCGGAACCGGACGACGAGGAAGACAACTCGGCGAGTTGGCGCCGCCGCCGCCGCAGAGCGGAGTTCCAGTGGTTCTTGATGGCGTTGTCGGTGCGGCCGGGAAGGAGGCGGGCGATCGTGGCCCACTTGTTTCCGTGGAGGGCGTGGGCCTGGATTATAATGGAGTCCTCCTGAGGCGAAAAGGGCTTGTGCTGGACGGTGGGGCAGAGCTGGTTGCACGCCGGAGCGGCCGGGAATGCCGGTGCTGATGAGGGACCAGTTGCTGGGGCCGTGCTGAGCCACCAATTTGATCAGGGTGGCGTCCTCCTGCGTGTTCCACGACCCCGTCACGCGATCCTCACCGCTCATCGCTCCCATCATCGTCATGCGATCATAAGAAGAGAGAGAGAGAGATTGGAAATCTGGATTCGAATGGGAGAGAGAGGGGAGTTTTGATTTGATGAGTGGGTTTTAACCGTTCGGTGGAAGAGAGGGAGGGGGGTCGGCGGTGACATGCATGAACTGTAAAACCGCTCGGATTTCACATAATGAAAATTAACTCCAAACGCGTTTCTTTCTTTCTGTTTTTTGTGTTCATTTTTTAATGAGAATTTTAACGAAAAATTCTTGGTATTGTTTATCTTAACGAAAAATCATATTTTTATACTAGAAAGTCAATCCTGGTACCATTTATTTTACTCTTATCATTAAGACTCAAAGTTTTCAAGTTTTTTTTATTAGTTTTTTTTTTTTTTTTTAAATTTGAATTTTGTTTTTGTTTTGGAAACTTCTCTTGAAATTAGAGATGAGATTAGATTAGAGAGGGAGGGGTTTAAGAAGAAGTGGGTTTTTGTTGTGCTTTTAGTAGGAAGTTGCGACTTCCCCCCTTCATTCTTTACGCTTCCAAATATTTGGGCGATTAATGATTAGCACCCTAATCAAAAGAAAGATGGTAAAATTGCACAAATGGCACATGCGTTTTAGTTTTATGCAATTACCAATACCACGTGAATCAATTTTTAGTTTCAATTTATCGGCCAAACTTCAGGTTGTATTGTAATTTGGAACTCAAACTTGAGGAGGTCATTTGATAAAGGCCGACATGATCCTCTGGGATCCATATATCCTAATTTTAGGGATCTATTAATCCGAATCATTGAAATTTGATCCAACATTTACAAACAGGGATCAACTTTAAAGTTATAATAACTTTAATCATTGGATCAAAGACTAAAGCTAGAGCCCAATGGACCGGCGACAGACATGACCCAATAGCCCCAGCAATTTGCTCTAGCCCATGCGGGCAATGGGGCTTGAGGGAGGCCCAAGTGAGAGATCCGGCTCGAATTGGTGGCCTGAGAGCCTGAGGCTACATGATGCAAGGCTGACGTCAGGATGACATTAATCACATTATAAAATTAATAAAAAAAAATGTAAAATTTTTTTAAAAAATCCGAAAGAAAATTAAAAATTAAAAAAAAAGATTTAATTTTTCTATAAATATCTTATCATTATCTTCGATCTTACACCACAATTTTATATTTTCTCAAATACTGTGACCTGTAATTTCTTATATAATGAAATGTGGTACAACAAGACCGATTAAAAATCATATCCAAAATTTAAAATAAAATTATTTTTTATTATTTTATAAAATAAAAAATACTAATATTTTATTGCCTATTGCCATAGCTATTCAGTTGAGGAGTGGAGATGCAAAAGCAGTTACTGTTCAGTGGGGGGATTCAATAATGAGTTGCTCTAGGGGGCCCTTGCAACGCTGGAGTTGCTTTTAGGTGGCATCTGATGTGGACAACCACATGATTTGAAAAATTTGCAAAACCCAAGGAAAGGAAAGAGAAAGACTCCTCATATACTACAATCATTATTTAATTAACTAGTTTTTCTTAATTATTAGTTTATTAAATAATGAACCAAATTTAAAAATCAAATTAATTCAAATGATGTAAGGTGGTATGAAAATATGGTACAAAAACATGGTATGAATAACATTACTCTGGA